TTCAAGCGGGACAACGCGTCTGCTATATTAGTCTTTCCTGGGCGGTACACTACTTTAAAATCGTACCCTTGTAGCCTTAAGACCCATCTCTCTATCCTGGCGCAAGGTCTCGAAGTACTGGAGTAGATACGCTCCAGAGGCTTGTGGTCGGTCTCCAACTCGAAGTCCTGTCCAGAAACATACATGTTAAACCGTTCACATGCCCAAACCAAGGCCAGCGCTTCCTTCTCCGTTTGGCTGTAGCGCCGTTCGACGTCAGTTAAGCTCCTTGATGCGTATGAGACAACTCTCCACATGCCTCTCTGCTGCTGGGTGAGAACTGCCCCTAAGCCAACTGGGGATGCATCAGCAATGATTCGCGTTCTGCAGCCAACCTTAAAATAAGCCAGTGTCTCCGCCTGGGTGATTAGACGCTTTAGTTCCTCAAAAGCTGCTTGTTGCTCATTTCCCCAGTGAAACACTACGCCCTTCCTGGTCAACTCTTGAATAGGCTTCGCTACGGACGCTACGTCTGGCATGAACTTCGAAGAATACTGGACAATACCCATAAACGATCGTACTTCGCTTGCGTCTTTGGGAGGTCTTGCATCTCTAATAGCGGCTATTTTCTCTTCGCATGGATTTATACCGTCACTAGTCAACTCATGGCCAAAGAACGTAAGCTTCGACAACCTAAACTGGCACTTGTCTCCGTTCACCGTCAACCCCACTTCACTCAGCCTATCCAACACAGCAAAAAGACGCTTGTCGTGTTCCTCCACGTCACCTCCATGAACAATAAGATCGTCCGAAATGTTGGCAACCCCAGCACAACTCCTTAACACGTCTCTGATGATTTGCTGATAATTTTCTGGTGCCGATGTCACCCCAAACATCAACCGCTTGTACCGATACAGCCCTCGGTGCGTGTTGAAAGTAGTGATGTGGCGACTTTCCTCGCTGAGCAGGATCTGGTGAAAACCTCACTTGAGATCAATCTTGCTAAACATGGCACTTTCATTCAAGTCATGTAACAGCTCCTCGACGGTTGGAATTGGATGCCGCTCCCTGACGATTGCTTCATTCAAATGTCAACACAGACCCTCGCGTCACCGTCACCTTTGAGAACAACCACCAATGGCGATAACCATCCTGACGGCCCTCCCGGCACTTCCTCTATGATGTTCAGCCTTAAAAGTTCACCAAGCTTTACATCAACCTTCTCTCGCAGCCCAAAAGGAATCCTGCGTACATGCTCCGCTACAGGCTTCACTGACTCATCAACATGCAGTTCGTAACCCTTCAAAAGACCAACACCACTAAATAACTCCTTGTATTTTTCTCTAACACTGCCGTCTGGTCGTCCTCCGTCAACACTGTTTGCCTGAAAAGGACCAACACGTAGCAGGTTCAGCACCTCGGCAGTTTCGCGACCCAACAGCGTACGACCATCGCCTTCAACCCCTATGAAGTCAGCCTTACTTCCGTCTTTAAACCCACATCCAGCTTGCGTGACATCTGCTGTAAAAGTTCCTAGGGTCGATAAAGGTTCTACGCCACCATAAGCAAAAATTTCTTTCGCAGACTTCCGAGATTCACACTTGATCCCCTTCTGCTTTAGTAATTCCCAGGTCCGCTGTCCCATAACATTAGATGAAGCTTCCGAATCAATAGAACATCTGGTACGTACACACCACCGATGACCACTTCTTTCTTCCCTGTGGTCATCCACTGAAAAGGCATAATCGGGTCTTGACTGACGACCTGGCGTTGCAGAATCTTTTTTGTCTTCTTCTCGGGGGCAGGTCCTCGAGTCACTAGATTTGCCTCTTGCCCTAGTCTTCCGCGTCCACGTCCACCCCGACCAAATCCACCAGCACCTCTGCCACCCCGACCATGTCCACCTCTGCTATTCCTCGTTCCTTTGGATCCCGACTGGGCGCCGCCTCGCTGATGGAGTTGGGGGCATTTGACTTTGAAATGGCCTATCGTACCGCACTTCCCGCAAGTCTGACCTCGCGCCGGTCACCTCCAATCCTGACTAAAGTGTCCTTTCCGTCCGTAACTAAAAAAAAAACGTCTTCAATTTTCTGGGATTCTTCTTTCCATCCACTTTTCCACTCACTGCATTGACCCGGTCTACCAACTTTAACCCTGATCCCTTTAAGGTTGTTCATAAGACGAGGTCAGAGGTAACGCTTAGGAACGAGACTGGCATTGAACTGCAAAGAAACACTGTGTTTGTAAAGAAGTATAACGAGAAAGGAGATTTATCCAATGGCAAGGAAGACCAAGTGGTACAGGCAGGTTCTGCAGTACGGGTGGATGACCCAGGGGCAAGCAAAATGTCAGAGACGACAGTCGTACCGATGCCAAAAGAGATTCCTGGAACGTCTGAAGATTCTCAAGAACAACCTAGGCATTTCCCAGACAATGAAAATACCGGAGTGGGAAGGCCTGTTCGGAGGTCGACCCGGACTGTAAGACCGCCCGATCGTTATAAAGCCATATAAACTGAATATGAACTGAATATGATATGAACTGAATATCTTCAACTTCTTGTCCTTTTATCGAGCGACTGGTTTGATTTAAAGGCTTCGATTTGTATGTTGAACATTTAGGAAAGGAGGGAATGTAGTGTATAGAATGCCAACGAGCATGTAATATGCGCGATGCAATGTGATGCGTGATGGTGTGATGTAATACCCTCGAGACCTGCATATATATACAGCGTGTGTTTAATTATTTAGTGAGTTCTCTTAGGTACGTGAATAAAACCGATTTCATTTTAACTGCTGTGTACTACAGGGGGTGACGTCAGGGGAAGTGTTCTTCTTCTTCAGATTTCATGAGCTTCAAAGCTGCCGTTTTGACCAATCCTTCCTAATGCCTGTTTTCTTCACCAATAAGCCATGCAAAACAAAAACAAATTTACAAAAAAGTACCTTAAAGTGCTGAAAAAATTGTAGTGGAGTCATTTTTGATACCCATCGTTAATACTTCCATTGCAATATGCAGTATTAAGACTATAATTTGCGTATATGTGCACGATCCTTCGCAGTAAAGCACTATTTCGTCGAAATGTATCATGACCTCCGCAAAGTTTTCAAACCACTTTTGGAAAATGTCAATTGCAAAACACCCCAGGACTAGTACCGTAAATACTAGCTACCTCACATTATTCAAGTGGCTTAAAACTATTTTGGAGATGTTTTGGGCTATTATCAGAGCCTTCGTTCAGTTCACGTTTTTATTTCTGTTGGGGTGGGATAGACCGACCTTGTGAGTTTGTGATTATCAAAGGCCGGCTTTTTGGGGTCATCAAATTATTTGAATGACTATAATTTCAATTCTGGTCGGATACATTGGAGAGAGGATAACTATTTAGATCGCTCATTTTACCCTTTCGAACATTTTAATTGCAGAAGTATATTATTTTTCTCTCTCTAAGATGTTTTGTTTTCCTGTTGGTTTAGTCAGTGCTGCAGTAACGGAGGTAGCAGAAGGGTACGCTGGGTAAGTAATAAACGTAATAAGCGCTGCAGTCTCTAACTTTGATTAGCCTTGACCACGAACAGCAGCCCCGCCACCAGTGAAAGCAGGCTCGCCTAGTGACCTGTCCATCAGCCACTGCAGGATGTTCACCATTCAACCACCCCGTTGCAAGAGTGCCACACCTCCAAGTGAATGGACACGAGGAAGGCATTTTTGTGCCTGCTTCCCCACTAAAACGATACCATCCAGAAAGTCCTCTGTCACAATACACCTTTTTGTTATACGAGTGGTATGTTATCCTCCTGCCTCTATGTGTCAGTCTAGTGTAGTTTTGACACTCTGTGTGTTGGAAAGAAACAAAACAAGTTAAGCCAAGCCCAGTCCAGTCTGCCACTCAATAATTATCTAAAACTCTTTCCATCCTAAATGTACATGTAAGGAGTATAACTGACCATGTCACGTGCAACTCCGCCAATGACACCTAATGCACGAATTGTACTTCTTGTAAAAAGTTGCACTTTAGCGAAACAGGAAGACTACAAGGCCGCTTATTCCGAGAGCACCAGTCCCTATTCGCTCTGACAAAGGGCTAACGTTCGAAACATCAGCTTAGAAACCCTTAACAGTGGCCGATTTACATTATTAACTCAGTTGATAAAACCACTACAACTTCTTTAAAAACGTACCCCCTCTATTCATAAGGAGTTTGTGGGTTCTATACACAGTAATGCAGGGAGGCCTGGTAACTATCGGATAAAGGGAAACGCAATCAACTAACCCGCTGCCAGATTGCAAATTGTCCCATCTCCAGTTAAATGGTTGTCACACGAACACGTGTAGGATCCAACAGTGTTGTTACATGATGCTGAACTGTTGCAATTGTGTACACCGCTGGTACACTCGTCGATGTCTGAAAAATATTTAAACAAAATTGTCAAAACAAAAAATTTGCTGTCGGTGTTTAAGCAAAAACAAAAGCAACCACTCAACAAATAAGTACATGGTTTAAACCCAGGAGTAACATGAGCCGGATGGTCCAACCACACAAAGAAACGAATATCGGCGCTGACAATTGTGGGTACCAAGAGAGGGTTAAAAGCAATTCTAGTTGGAAAAAATTTGATATACATGTCATAGATGTATTTATTCATTTCTTCATATATTTATTATACCCTTAGCACCCTGACTGGTCAAAAACATATCGTTTATTACGCTGGTATAGATCCATAGAATATTGAAAAATTTTAAGTTTGTTCTAGAAAAGCAATAGACCGCCCTTAAAAAATTTGCACACACTCGCCTTTGGTTTGCTATTTACAATTTTTCTTGTGTTCTCCCAACATACTGCGTGGATTATTAAAGCCCAACATACTGCGTGGGTTATTAAAGCTAGGCAGCAGTCTAGTGCTTCAATAAAAATTGGACAGAAAGTAAGTGGGTTACTACCAGTGTTAATCTTTGGATGCTTTTCCACAACCCGTAAATCTGGTTTGTTGCTCAGTTGTGGGCACCGGACCGCAGAATTCAAAGCTTTGAGCATCCATTTTTAAGCATTAGCTCTTACATTTGAGACACGATCAAGGAACTACATGACACTAAAAAAGGATAGAAATTTAAAATACCCTTCCGTCAATATACTATTCCTAATATACTAGTAAGTGCACCTAACTGCCAAACAACTTGGTTGTCACTTGTGCCACACTAAGCTGAAACACGACAATTCATGATATACTGTTTTTAATCTCTACTTCGAAGTAAATGAAAATGTTCCTTGTTAATGTCGATAATTTCTTTGTTCACCGAAGTGTGATCGATGATTTTTTTCTAAGAATGAGCACTTGCACATAACGTGATACCCTACAAGGCACGATTAACAACAATTTAAGCTGATAATTTTTATTTTTAGACTTACCTTCTTCGCAGTTTTCTCCAGAAAATCCAGGAAGGCATTCGCATTTACCCTCAACACAGTTGCCGTTATTCTGACAGGGATTGCTGCCACTGCACAGATCGGCTATAACTAATACAAAAGTAACTATATTGGACCAAAAAGCCGATCTGATCAGAGTATTGCCCCACGTTACCAATAGAGAGACCTTGACTGTGCTCTGTTCTGTTGTAGAACGCGCAGGAAGCGGCTAGACCACGAAAGAAGTTTGGGGAGAAACAAGACACGTATTCGAGTGTTTTTCTCCACTCCTTGAGTGTTCTAGCCGCTTCCTAGGTGCTTTACAACAGAACAGAGTACAATCAAAGCTTCTCTATTAGTTTTATGATAAAGATGCCGTAAAGTTGATTCCTCAGAAAAAAAAAGTTGTCGAACAATTTTTTTCGAAAAATACACTAAAAAAGATAGGTCACCAGGTTTGTTTAAGAGATATGATAGGCCAAAATACCCTGGCACTTATCACGTGCGTCATTTCATCTGTTCACGTTACATTTTTGCAGTAGCTGGAAGCAAGGGTTTTTAAAGTAACACTTGAAAAAAAAATCTTGATGGGTGGAAAGTCTCTAGTGTATGGAACAATTTGATACATATTTTGTGGGAAAATTAAGCAACCTTAAACGACATCGAGTCAAAACGTTCATCCAGTCGTTGCTGTCAGGGTTGTATCATCGAGTGACGGGCTTCGTGCACACTTGGAGCTATATCTTTTTTTCCCTTCAATGAATGTTTTCTTCATTTCTCTGATTTAATGGGGATAATTTTTACACCAAATTTATGCAATGAAAATATGGGTCACCGTCTCGGTGCTAGTTGAAGATTCTCTTTACCTGGGCCCAATTTTATAAAGGGCGCATAACGCATTCCCAAGGATTAATCCCTATCCGGTTGATAAGTAAGAGCAAAATGTACTGCTCTATCCATCGGGTAGAGATTTATCCAGTAGCCTGGGGCCTGGTCCATTGACTGAAAAACAATACCGTGTTCTCGGAGTGTGCGCGCGCGTATTCGCCTGATTACCTGATCATAATGCGCAGTAGAGGATGCGCAATGCAACACTGAGGAATCATCTCAATTGTGGCTCACAAGAGCACGCAAGTGTTTTTCACATGAAAATTAGAAAACAAACTGCTCAAGGAGTGCGTTTTATGAATGAACGACAGCCGAATTCACAGGAATATGAGGATTGCTCGGAATGACAGCGCCGTCAATTAAAACTTGGCTGTGTGACTAATGTGGCTTTCTACTCAATGCATCGGAAAGTACATCAGAGAAAGCTCTTGGTTGTTCACTCAAAGGGCGGACGATGCAATTTATGAGGCTTTGTTCACTGCGATGACCGAATATCGCCATGATGAGCTAGCTGCGATGGACCTTAGAATAACCGCAGTCGCTCTGACACTGCATTTTTTTGTGTGAATTTTAATCGTTATACTAGCTTGGTTATAATTTTTTATCATTTCTGTTTTGTTCTGTTTTGTTTTTGAACACGAAACTACATGTGCTATGCGAGTGTTAGCGGTGTTTGAGTTTTAATTACTGTACGTAAGCTTACGCACAATCAAACTGAGCGCGTTAACCGCGTTTTGTACCATGACAGAGCACCCCCTTCCATCCAGTGACAGCGCGCGTTATATTCCAACTTTACTATAAATGTATAGAAGGCACTCGAAATGAATTAAATGAAAGTACTGAGACTTGAAAATTCCAACGCGTTTAATCTAATCTCTCGTTTCCGAACTCTTGCTTATGCGTATACATCTTTGCCAATGATCATTTCCCTGATCTATGTTTTGCCTGCTCTCCTGTTTTTTTTGTTTGCTTTGAAACTTTACAATGTAAAGTCTCACCCGATGACGGTTAATCAGTATTCTAGCGTGCAAAAAGAAATCGTGGTTCAAAAATCAGGCACCAGTAGTAAAAATTAAAGTAGTTAAAAATTATGGACGTGTTTGTATTTATATACCATGTAGTTCAGTGTAAAGTAAAAGAGCTATTTAAGTGTCATTATAATTATTACCATAGACTAGAATAAGATTGAGAATGGCCGTGGAAAAGTTACATTTAGGTTTTTGTATATATTGTATGCTTTGAGTTAAATTGTCGATGAGGTGATTTGTTTGTTTCTAGTTTTGAAGAATCTTGTCGATTTATTCTACATGGAAATCGCTATATAAAATAATGACGATCATTATATAAAGTAATTATAGTCTATACTTCAGTTTGCGTTGCATGTCATTCGTATGCCTTGTACCCCTGAAAAAGCTACCCTCTCCATCATCTTTGTCTTTACAGATGCGGTTTGCAGTTGGAGTGGTTTTTACGTGACAACAACAAAATTAAAAAATAAGGAATTATTAATCCTTGAGATGTTAGTTTAGTTATTTTTTAGTTTTACTTAATCACAGTGGAAACGATTGAATAATAATAATAAATAGATAAAGAAATAAATATTTTTAACAAATTTGTAGTTTGATAGGGTTTTTCGTCTTGTGATAAATCAAGGTTGAAATTTCTAAGCTTTTGCGTGCCACGATATTAAAATGGCGGCCGAGAACGCTGTCACGTAGGTTAAAAAGTGACTTATCCGCTGAGATTACAGTCCTTGTATGAGAATAAGTGCTTATAGAGATGTTTGTAAGCCCTGAGAAGGCGACTACTAGCAGCCGTATTTTTGCCGCTCAGAGGGACACAAACGTAATAAGGTCTAACCAACCTGTCTCGCAAAATTCTCCTGAATATCTAGGCTGACAATGGCATTTACCGTCTCTACAGGTCCCTTGGTTCTGACATGGATTGCTGTTACACTCATCTATGACAAAAAATAAAAATTAAACGAAAAGTGATGATAGTTTCTTAGGAACACTACACTTTTTCTTCCGTGGAAGATAATTAGTCAACTGCAATGCAAGGAAAAAGAAGACGGTAAGTGGTGGACTTGTGATTTTATAAGAATTGCTGATGGAAGAACTAAATACTTCCAACGATAGTAAGACGTAACTAACCTATCTCGCAGTGTTCTCCGTAAAATCCAGGCTGACATTGGCAGTAACCGTCTGTACAGCTCCCATGGTTCTGACATGGATTGCTGTCACACTTATCTATGACAAAGTATTCAAATAAAAAGTAACAGAAGTTTCTCAGGAACACTATACTTTTTCTCTCGCGGGAGATAATTAGTCAAAGCCATACAATGAAAAAGGAGAACGTAAGTGGTGGATATGTGATCTTAAGAGCGTGTCGACGAGAAAACTTGGCAGGAGGCGATGAACCTCAAATCACCGATTTTGCTCAAACTTGGCAAATGTAAGCAGTAAGCCTCGGATAAGGTATGTAAGTGATTTCGTTGTGCGTTTCAGGTTTTTAACCATTTTCTTTTTCCCTGTGTTGAGAGGACCAATATATCACGGGCTTATTCATTTTTCGGTGAACCAGCAACTATCTCAAGCTTAACAAATAACAAGTCAAATATTTTGGTGGCCGTAAGTCTTTGTTACATTTTAAACTTTGTAGACTAGAAACACAACATGTCAAATGGATTTCAAAGTTGACTGCTGAACAAAGTTGCAGGCGCGATCTTGTCAAAGATGGCGAATTGTCCTTTTGATTTATATCAGCTTTTAGGGCACAAATTATCTTTTTGCCACCAACACACATCATGTAAGTCAATAAGTATCACACCGTAAAAGACCAATCATTTTGATTGATCTTTCCAAGAACTCTCACCGCGTTTAATATTTCAACAAGGCAACGAAGCAAATCGAATCTGATACATTGTTGACATAATGGCTATTTATATCATATCGAGCCAAAAGATGCATCTGAGGCACCACAGAGACATGTATGTACTATCAAGTTTCTTCCTAGATTTCTTTTGTCAGAAAGTTCGACTACGTGCGCCCTTGATGTTCATCGTCAACTGCTGCGTTTCCTCTAGAATAATACAAATATGGCTGCGAAAAAAGTTCTCAAAAAGAGCTCAACTTACGTTATTCAAAGATTATCTCCTCGTTCATGTTTAACGATACCCTCTGGGAAACTTATTTCAAATTTCAAGTAATTCTAAGTTAATGAAACAAAGATGTGGTGTACGGAATTTTGATGATACAGACTAAAAAGGGGGAGGTAGCTGTAAATTTCACGCAGCACGGGTTATGAAATCAGTTGCCCCCAAATGTTATTACTAGTTTTCGAAGTCCAGTGATAACTTTCACTGCCCATATAGGAATAATGATCAGAAGTGGTTGGTCATCAGAAATATTGAACCTTAAAATATCCTTAGTTTTGGACTTTGTCAAAACCAGAAAAAGTTGTCTTTACTTAAGGGAGAGGTAAGGGATAAAATAAAATGAAAAAGTTAAAACAATTCAATTTTCTTGAATTCTGATAGATATAGAACACAACCCAGCTAATTGAATTTGCAGATGGATTTTTGGTTTGTCACAGCAGCAATGCGAAGTTAGCTAGTTAATTATGCAAAAAATGCAAGAAATGGGGGTTTTCCCAGGGGAATCGTGTATCTCCCAGGGAATTAAGTATTTTGACCTATTATTTTCGCACGTTTGTTAACTAATGATCCTAACAATTGTGCCAAGTTTGAGCCAAATCAGTGATTTGAGGTTTATCGCTCCCCGCCCGGTTCTGCCCGGTTTTCTCGTGGACATGCTCTCAAAAGGATAGCTAGTGGAAGAACTAAATACTTCTGATGATAATAAGGTGTGACTAACCTATCTCACAGTGTTCTCCGGAAAATCCAGGCTGACATTGGCATTTACCATCTGTACAGGTCCCTTGGTTCAGACATGGATTGCTCTTACACCTATCTATGTCTTAAAAATAATTCAAATAAAAAGTGACGAAAGTTTCTTAGGAACACTATACTTCTTCTCTCGTGGAAGGTAATTAGTCAAAGGAACTGAAGGAACAAAGAGGAGGTAAGTGGTGGACTTGTGAATCTATAAGAATTGCTGATGGAAGAACTAAATACTTCCGATGATAGTAATGTGTAACTAACCTATCTCGCAGTGTTCTCCCGAGAATCCAGGCTGACATTGGCATTTACCGTCTGTACAGATCCCTTGGTTCTGACATGGATTGCTGTCACAATTATCTATAACTCAAAGGAAAACAAATGACCAAGGTCCTCAAAAATTATGCTTTTTCTCTCTTACTAGTAGCCATCAATTAGTCACTGAAAGGTATGGGAGAAAGAGATAGTAAGTAGTGGACTTGTGATTTCACCAAGGGGAAGGAGTTGAAAAAATTCATAAAGTATCTGTAATAAATTTCTTTTAATTATAAATGTAAAAATTAACATTGCTAGTTTATTACTTGACAGCCATCGATTTCCACTGTCCCCATTTACTTCCTATTCCATTCCCTATCGCCGTAGCCGTGGATTTCCCCTTCCCAGTCTTCCTCCTCGTCCTCGTCACCTTTGCCAACCCCTGTCTCCGGCCTTGTTTATCTTTCTCTTCTGCCCCATCCAAGTTTCATCTACGATGAGTGCATTCATTGTACTTGAACAACTTTGTTTCACATGACTAAAAAAAAAAATGGAAAGCAGAAATACAATCTCCTACCATGTTCACAGTTGTGGCCAGTAATTCCAGGAGGACATAAGCAGCGATATCGTGAAGAAGTAAAACCTGACTGACAGGTTGCTTCGTTCTTGCACGGTGAGTTACCACAGGCATTCTGAAAGAGGGAAAATGAAAAGACTACCTATGAGCAAAATTGTTTCGTTATTTATTTTTCATTGTTTCTGTTTTTTTTACTCTCTTATCCTGAAATCGATTTTATTATTTTTCACGTTTTGTAAGGGATTGCCAAGTAGAGAAGTTTTGAGTATTGATTTTTACTTAAAGCCGCTTTATCGTCAATGACTGATGAATACTTAATAATCATTTGTTGAAGTAAAAAATAATGATCACAGCCTTTTAACTTAATTTTTTTCTCCCATTAGATAATGTTCTTACATTTGTTCCATGGTAAACATAGTTTGCTGCCTTGATCAGGTCCTTCTCATGTTCTTTACTAGTTGAGTTGTTCAGTTCACAGTTTTCTGTCTCAGGTCCTCTCGGACGTACTTTGAAGTTTATACTGACACAATTGTGTTCCAGGTAACAACGAAACTCACACGTGTCTCTGTCAATCACCATGATGGTTGCTATGGTGTGGTTAACAAGACGCTCCCCTTCGAAGAATAACGAAGATGGAAATGCTAATACACGACAATTACCTGAAATAGTTGAGATTGTCGGGAGGAAAATAACAAAATTATTAAAACAAAACAATGTCATAAATGTGTCACCACTATGTCATCGGTTTGCAGGTACGTCTATTTCACAATTCAGAAAGTAAAGGTATTAAATTATCTAGTAATGTAGGAAAAGTGACCTTACTCTACTATAGCTTGAAACTATCATATCAGCCAATATGAGTGTTTAGAAAAAATAAAACGAACAAAAAAACAGAGATAGTATGAGTCATTATGCGATTTTTCACGTATATGTTATAACCTTGGGTTTGTGACACAATTTATTTCGTATGGTCGGCAAAGCTGAGCGGAAGGTAAGGGATGCAGCCAAACGTTCGGTTCTATGGTGATTTCTTCAGAAAGATTGAAGAAAGCGGAAATCGGTTGCCAAAAATAGATTCCTATTGAGAAAATACAAGTGAATACACTCATCTTTGGGTTTCAGAGAAGGGAACTAATGTTGTTGAATGTCACCCACATTCAAATAATGTCGACTACAAAAATATGTGTAATAATGTGATACAGTGCGGCAGGATAAATTGAGAAACACAACAATTTACTCTTAAATGCTTCCCTTTCGGATATTGAGACAGGTGTGTTTTGGTTGTTTTGGTAAGTCGTGAATTGATACAAGAAGCTAAGAGTGTGAAAAGGGTAAAAGTTATATGAAAATACCTTTGAAGAACTTACCATCTAAACAGGCCAAACCATTCTGAAGAATAAGCAAGAAAAAGACAAAGTAGACTAAAGAAATCATAGCAACTTGAGGTACTTCACATGTTCCTCAGCAATAAGCTGTCTTTAAGATAGCCGCCTGTTTTAGTTGGCTATTGTGATGTCATACGTCATACAGCCGACTGAAAATTAGCCAATGACGAGTTTTGACAAATAAGAATGAAATTTCCCTTCAAAAATTATTTTTATGTCACTACTGGTTTTTCAACAGAATTGTATCAGTGTTAGGTTTTCCGTCAGGAGAAAGTTGTTTTAACGCCCATTGTAGTTAAATAGTCTGTGGCGTTTCTTTGGTTTCAAAGGGTATTCCTCCCAGCTATCTCCTGTTGCCTGGCAACAGCTCACAAAACTTCTTTAATTTTTAAAAAGAGAAGTTCAAGTTCGAATAAAGGCTGCAGAATATATGCATATAGTTTATAAAAACAGGTGGATAAAATTACATCACTTCGTGAGGAACTGAAGTTATTGGCGTTTTTTCATCAAAATTTTCTCAGTGTTAGATTTCCCATCTGGGGGAAGTTATTTTGACGTCCGTTATAGTTAAATAGTGTGTGGCAAATAAAGGCTACAGGATGAATGCATACAGTTATTTTTTTACAGCAGGTGGTTCCGAAGGCAATATAAATGAAAAGTCCGTTGTCAATGATCTAGGATGAAATAGGTCATGTGGTGAGTTTCAAGATGATTTGGTGTAATCAACTAAGTTGAAAATGCAAATTAGCTTCCGCAGAGAGTTTTTAAAGCTGACGTTTTGAGTGTTCGTCCATCGTCGAAAACAATAGAGGAATTTGGGGTTGTGTGTGGTTTATGTAATGAGAAATGAGGCTACGCTATGTATGGGAACATGGTAACGTGAAAAACAAGAATAAAGTGGTGGGGAGTAAGAATGACAATTTGAAAGATAAAGTTTGTTTTAAATCTGTTGAATTGATACTTTTTCATCATATTATATACCCAATCAAGAATAATTCACTCAGATCGCCGTCGACTGATGTTATTCAACTATTTTCGATATTAGTTGGTTAATGTAACAATAGGGCTGCTCTTTCCAATGCAGTGAAGTGAATACCTTAGAAAAAAAGTTATCGCCCAATTCATCAAGCTTACGATATGTAAAAGTTGCCGTTAATACATGTTGCTATAGTTATTTTAGTCATATAAGAGGACAGTTCTATCTACGGACACGTTTTTTAATTCCCCCTGTCGTCTCTGTCAAACTCTGCATTCACACATTTCCGTAAGGGGAATGTGTGAATGTTTGTTTTTTCCCTTTTTCCACAATTGCAGCACTTCTTTTTGTCAGCGAGATGCTTCATGCTATAGTCTACAATACAGTGCATCTGTCTTTCACCTTAATTTTCGAGGAAGTCTCTTATTTCCTTATACCCTTTCTTATTTTTCTCTCTCAAACTATTAGACCTATTAGCTATGAGCCTCTGCTGTCTTTAATAGATATATCTTATTAGACGTTTTGTTGTGTAGTATCGCTGAGTATTTTTACGAGTTGTACCGTATTTTGACGAGTCCGTAGGGCGAGTCAAAATACAAATAACGAGTAAAAATACTCAGGATACTACACAACAAAACGTCTAATAAGTTATTTATCATCCAACACGTCAAACTGTTATTTCAGTGCGGGCGAATTTCGCGGATATTTATTTACGGGGAGTGCGTGATAGAAAAATGCAAAGCGCGTCATAGTCGTGTTGCTGTTTCTTTTTTCTTTAATAAATGAAGAAATTTCTAGGTCGTCTAGTTGTTTTTCTCCGTTCGATTCATCTAAAGAATAATTGTCTCCTGGTGTTGCTTTCATTTCTGTTTCTCTTCTCCTTTAAAGCTATAATCAGTAGTCTTGCCAACATTATCTTAATATATTTTGGCATATATGCAGATAGTCTCTGTTAGTTCATCGATTGGTCGAGCTTTGGTCTGCCCAAAAGTGAGGTCTAGTTGGAAATAAACTCCTTTTAGTACCGAAGAAGAGCGCTCAGATACAGAGCCAAACATCAAGACACCGCAGTGCAAAAATGCCACAAAGAAAATTAATAAAACACTACAAATGACAATGATTCTGCAGATACCTTGAAAGCTTTGGATTTTTATGGCGAATGATTCGCAAGAGTTTTGTATAGACTATGGATATCAGGATTCCAAGTGTGGCATTTTCTGCTTCTTGCCATGTGATGGCTTCCTGGAAACTTACACTTGCGTAAATGTTTACTTGCAGTTTTCCCGGCGTTGAAGAAACTTTACTTTGTCGTAAGTAGGTACGTTACTACGGAAAACACATAAAATACCAATTGGAAAATCTCGACCCAATCAGTAAGGACTTCAGTTGAAACATCGAGACTGATAGTTGTAAAGCCTGAAGCTTTCTCTTCCAGAATTAGAAAAAAGAATACAATATAAAGAAAGAAGCATATCATATAAAACTAATGTGAGGTTGTTTCCGCCCAATCAAGGGAAAGAAGATCAGTTCTTATGTAGACCAGCTACCTCAACCTCGTAGAGGTATGTGGCAACACCTAAAATATTCATAAATGAATTGAATGCGGAAATCTCCTCGAGGACAACTCTAGTTTTCTTGTGAGTGTGTGTGAGTGAGTGAATACTTTATTGATGTGTCAAGAGATTTAGCTACCAAGCTAATTAGGGACACACAAAAAAATTCCTATCTACAATATTTTTAAATGATATTCATATAAATATCTACAATAATTGTCAACAGCTATTGTCAAGCCAATAGTTGTTTCGTAAATTTGTAGCCATGCCAAATCTGCTTTGGTTCTTATACCCGAGGTCTGCTAGAAATCGTCCTCCACGACAAAATGAAAACTGTCCCCACTTTGTTACAGTTCCAGTTTCCTTGGCATATCGATATCGCCATGGCTTTGGGCAAAGTTATAGTAGTTTGTAATTCCTCGCAACATTGTCCACAAGCCTCCAACCTGGTATATTTTAGATGGTCTTGTCTTCGTCCTTTGTCGAGTATCCATCGAAGTATTCTTGGAACAATGTTTGCATGTACTTTGGAACTTAGACACTATCAAGAAGTCTATTTTGGGATTCATTTGAGTCAGTGGTATGTCCCATTTTATATTTTTAATTAGAAATGTAGATGTTAATTTAAACCACATGATTAAATAGTGCTTTTCGCACCCGCTGATTTGCCAATTATGAGGTAATTAAGCAAGCACTATTCACCTCCGAGCAGACGAAGAGACAGACAGCGCGTCATGAGTTTAATTTCCGATCGTTTTTTGGTGTCTTGAGAGAAATAAACTCATTTTTTGAAATTTGAGAGTAGTGGATGTTTACCTCCACTTTGCATTGGTGAATAATTGGAAATTATTATGCAGATCAAAAATTGCTTGAAACCTCAAAGTAGCGGGGGCAAAGTAATATTGTCCATTAAAACCCAACTTTATCGTTCATGAAAACGCAGTTTATTTAAAACTATAAGTTGGAATGGTTTGAAGCCGAGAAATTTATCACTGGTGTTGTATATTTTTCCCGAAACGTCACTAGATTATTCTACTTATTTTACTCTACATTCAAGTTTGGACACTGGTCGCTTCTCTATCAAACCGCTCAATGATATTTGCATGGCTATAACAGGTAAAATGACGTGTGTGTGGAGGTAAAAAATATCCTTGTCACTGAACGGCAAAAAATAGAAAAAACCTTACTCGAATTCACCCTGGGTTGTCTTACTCGAGCCATTCCAACAAGAAGAGAATGTTCATCACCAGTATACATTGTTTGCTTCACCTCTTGATCGTTGTACCATCTACCGGAAAACAGTCCGGGGATGAAAATATCTTCTATTCAGCTTTGTTGTTTGCCAACTAGATCAAATACAAAGTTATCGCTATTGCATAAATAGCGCCATCTACTGCGAGGATCGTGCATCATACGTATCTAATACCGCAGTTCAAAATATATGAACTTCATATATTCATTGTATCTGATTTATCACTTTCACGGGTTTATTACGAATCAACTTAACGGCCTGCTCCCAGTTGGCTTGTTAGCTCAATTGGTAGAGCGCTGCACTAGTATCGCAGAGGTCAGTGGTTCGAATCCCGTACAGGCCTGATTTTTTTCAGGTCTGATTTTCGCTATTGCATAAATAGCGCTATCTACTGCGAGGATCGTGCATCATACGTATCTAATACCGCAGTTCAAAATATATGAACTTCATATATTCATTGTATCTGATTTATCACTTTCACGGGTTTATTACGAATCAACTTAACGGCCTGCTCCCAGTTGGCTTGTTAGCTCAATTGGTAGAGCGCTGCACTAGTATCGCAGAGGTCAGTGGTTCGAATCCCGTACAGGCCTGATTTTTTTCAGGTCTGATTTTCGCTATTGCATAAATAGCGCTATCTACTGCGAGGATCGTGCATCATACGTATCTAATACCGCAGTTCAAAATATATGAACTTCATATATTCATTGTATCTGATTTATCACTTTCACGGGTTTATTACGAATCAACTTAACGGCCTGCTCCCAGTTGGCTTGTTAGCTCAATTGGTAGAGCGCTGCACTAGTATCGCAGAGGTCAGTGGTTCGAATCCCGTACAGGCCTGATTTTTTTCAGGTCTGATTTTCGCTATTGCATAAATAGCGCTATCTACTGCGAGGATCGTGCATCATACGTATCTAATACCGCAGTTCAAAATATATGAACTTCATATATTCATTGTATCTGATTTATCACTTTCACGGGTTTATTACGAATCAACTTAACGGCCTGCTCCCAGTTGGCTTGTTAGCTCAATTGGTAGAGCGCTGCACTAGTATCGCAGAGGTCAGTGGTTCGAATCCCGTACAGGCCTGATTTTTTTCAGGTCTGATTTTCGCTATTGCATAAATAGCGCTATCTACTGCGAGGATCGTGCATCATACGTATCTAATACCGCAGTTCAAAATATATGAACTTCATATATTCATTGTATCTGATTTATCACTTTCACGGGTTTATTACGAATCAACTTAACGGCCTGCTCCCAGTTGGCTTGTTAGCTCAATTGGTAGAGCGCTGCACTAGTATCG